AGATCCTTACGGGGCACGGGGGTTTCAGAGCCAAGCTGAACAAGCATGGGAAGAACATCAACCCCTTGTGCCCCACTTGTGGGATTCCGGACACGGCGGAGCATGTAGTCCTGAGCTGCGAAAAGATGGCTGGGCACAGAGCTTGGCTATCAAGGATGACAGGGCTATATGCGATGGAAGAGGCGGACTTACCGAGGCTGATGAGCGAGGACTTCTACCCCTACTTCACCGAGTACATCAGGAGATGGAAGGAGGCGGTGGGCCCGGAGCACTTCACCCTTGGGAGAGGACGCCCGCCGGAAGCCGTAGAGGAAGCGACGGAGGAAGAAGAAGAAGAAAGAGAAGGTGCAGTCCCTTCCTAAAGCGTGCAACCGCACGCTGGGCTGCACCACAGATACCCTATATTGTCCCCAAAAATATAAATATCCAAAAGCATGTATAAATATAAACAAATAAATAAAGAGTAAAAAAAAAAAAAAAAGAGTTTATTGGTGGCAGTGGCATGCGCAAATCCCATGCGCACTACCCTACTGTCACCGAACCCCGTATGCCAGAAATGGCCAGGTAGGGGGAGATAAAAAAAAAAAAAAAAAAAAAAAAAAAAAAAAAAAAAAAAAAAAAAAAAAAAGGTTAGGAGTTCTCTTACCAGATTGTGAATATTGTATATAGGTATGAATGTGTTCTTTTTATTTATTTATTTTTAGGTTATTTTATTCTTATTTATTGTATTTATATTATTTTTCTGTATTATTTATTTTATTTATTGTACATAGACTGTGGATGTGATGTCTGAACACTATTATAAATGTCATTGAGACAGATTGTAATATTTTTCAATAAAAAAGTTTTTTTTTTATTGATGATATTTACAACTGTATTACAAGTAAAAATACATTCAGTAAATGTGAACGAAGGAATAAAATAGCATGAAAAAAGTTTTAAAAAAAAGTATTCATCGATTGAACAGCTGGACGAAGCTTCAGTGTTATATTTCAATTTACTCAACGCATTTCTATGTTTACTTTCTGTCGATATAGGCAAATTTCTTAATTCAGCGCTGAGCATATACTTGTTTAAGTTCTATAACTAATTTAGTTTTTCTATGGTTAATAAATGGTTTAAAATCTTTTTTATATCTAAAAATTAATTTTAACGATGTATTTGTTAATAAATTTGACAAAAGTTAGGATAAAATAAGTTAACTACTTACAAAAAATAATACGAAAATAATTAATTTGCTGAGGAAAAAGGAAAAAGAATTGACAAATACACACAACTACAATATCAATTGTGTAGCTTTTCACATTTTTAAATGTATTTCCCAATTGACTATTAAAAAACAAATAGTTGAAGATCGCTTATAAAAATCATAGAAAGTAATTATTTTATATTTATAGTAAATATTTAGATGAAGACCGCACGGGTTGGTTACGAGTGGTTCACAATCACTTCGGTTACGCTTGTTCATAAAACGCCGAAAAAAGTATTTTGGATAATATTCCGTCTCCTTTTTATCAAATTATTAACATCCGCCTGAAACTTAGTAAATTGATTATTTTCATTGTAACCTACAAATATTTTATTTACAAAAATTCTCTGCATTGGGGTGTTTTCAATTTGGAGGTCGGCAAACTATGCCTATTTAATTAGGTACTAAAAGCTCATGAATACCTATTTCCTTTACACTTAAATGGTAAGATAATATGAACACAAATTCGAAAAAAAAGGCTTACAAAAATATTGGTCCTTTTGGTCTACGTAACCTCGTTATTTTAACTATTTCGGGATGCAGGTCACGACAAACGGAACAATATCTTAGTAGGTCACCTTTTTTTTCGACTTTGTGGTCATATTATATTTTGATTCAAGTTGGAAGCGAATTAGCAATCATGAGTTTTTATTACTTAATTAAATAGACAAAGTTTTCCCATCTCCAGATTGAAAACGCCCCGAGCCAGAGAATTTTCGTAAATAAAATATTAAAAAATAGGTTAAGATCAGATGAAGTTATTTACGAAGTGTCAGGCGGATGTAAATAATTTGATAAAATACCATTGTCTGTTCCACGAACTATGAACCCGAACGCATTCGGTACTCCACGAACAAGTGTAACCGAAGTGATTGTGAACCACCCCGGTGTTACTCATCTAAATATTTACCTATTTTTTTCAATAATTTAAAAGCGATTTCAGTGTTGCCATGTTGCAATGCCTACCGTCCATTACAGTGTTGTCGCACTTCATTATAAATCCTAGTACAGTGAAATAATATCAGCTAAGGTCATGTATTTTTAGACATTTAAATTTGGTTTGAGTTAATATGTCAAATAGGAAGATGAGTTTAATCTAAGATATGATGTAAGATAACTTTCTTAGAAATTATTGGATAATTTTTATAAACATTAAAAAAGCAAAATAAACTTTTTGAAGTATTTAATATTTGCATAATTATCTTTGTAAGATTTTTTTTAAACGTATCTTGGCTCGTTTGATTTCCGCCATTATTCTTCTCGCAGCGTTGGGGCTGTTCTAGGCGATAATATTTTTTTTTTTATATTTTTTTTTTTTGGTTCTTCCCTACCTCGCCATTTAGGCTATACGGGATTTCCCCGGGCCAGGGGATGATGGCTGGGAAATTAAAATCCCCTCCAGCACCGGGACGCGAACTCGTACTTATTTTTGTCTCTCAAAACTTCATATATCTGGTTGCCGGGCAACTCGCGGTGCTGTGCACACGCTTTATAGCCCTGGAGCCAGGGCCCAAAAATCGACCTGATCGCAGGCGAAGGTTTGATTGTAAATTACGAAAGTGTATGTTATTCTGAGTAAAAAAAATCTTGTCTGCCGTTCCGGAGCCGCTGCTTTCAAAAATGGCGGCTGATTTAAAGAATATTAGGCCAATAATTTGAGGATCGAAACGGGAAATTCATTTCGAAAAATGCGAGAAAAGTTTCTACTTTTTTAACTTGTATATATGGGTTTAGACATGTAAAAACAAAATTGCTAAAGCAGGCCACCAAGGGAAAACTTTTTACAGCCAAAAAAGTCAGATTTTTTCGATATTTTTTGAGTTTTTCATCTATTTTTAGAGGAAAAACCCATAGAATCAAACTTGTAGAGCATCAAATTTTGCGTATACTGGGTACTGACATTTTCATTGTTGGCCAATTATAGACCTCGAATCAGGATTCGTTATTCCTTTATAAAATTCGGTATCTTTCGGCACACCGTTTACCAAAATCTTTTGCTGTTGAGAGGTGGAAAAGAGGCTTATACTGCATGTAACAGACTTTAAACAAAACTAACTCAGTGGAATAGACACGCATACTGTTGAAATATTGAAAATCACGTTTACCTTCATTACCAATTTCTAGCCATCGGGAGATTACCGATATTGTTCGCAGCAAGTGACCTATATTAAATTAGTTGATACTGAGTATACGCAAAATTTGATGCTCTACAACTTTGATTCTATGGGTTTTTCCTCTTAGGGAACTCATTTCCAAGTTACAGGGCCATTTATAGTAATTTGTCTCAGTTTTTAACAAATTTGGTAAAACTCAGCGTTGGTTGACCGTGGTTTTATACCTTACTACGAAACCAAATTTTAAAGTTTATGTACTCGTTTGACCCAAAATTTAACGTTCTTTAATTTATTAAAGAACACATTTTTCGCTTTGATGCATTGTTTAGGAGTTATAGATGAAAAACCCCAAAAAATATCGAAAAAATCTGACTTTTTTGGCTGTAAAAAGTTTTTCCTTGGTGGCCCGCGTAAGCAATTTTGTTTTTTACATGTCTAAACCCATATATACAAGTTAAAAAAGTAGAAACTTTTCTCACATTTTTCGAAATGAATTTCCCGTTTCGATCCTCAAATTATTGGCCTAATATTCTTTAAATCAGCCGCCATTTTTGAAAGCAGCGGCTCCGGAACGGCAGACAAGGTTCTTTTTACTCAGAATAACATACACTTTCGTAATTTACAATCAAACCTTCGCCTGCGATCAGGTCGATTTTTGGGCCCTGGCTCCAGGGCTATTAGCCTATTTGGCCACCCCGCCCCCGCTCTAGGCGATAATCTGTAATCGTCTGGTTCTTTCTGCTTATATAGATGATATCCAGGGAGCAGGTGGTTTATAGTAGCCGGACGCGATCACGATCATCCCCTTTTCATCAGGATGGTTGAGTAATTATATATTTATATATATAATTATATTATATGGTTGAATAATTATATATATATAATTTTATTATCATTAATACTTTTTCTCATATACCATTAAACTCTTACACGTATCTTCCATAACAGATGATCATGCTCTTCTTATTATATATTTACATATTATCCAGCAATCAAATAATTAGGTTTATAATATCAGATGCGTAGTCTGTGGTACAGACCCCTTTTTATCGAATTGTTAACATCCTCCTGAAACTTCGTAAATAGTTTCACTTCATCGTAACCTAAAACTATTTTATTTACGAAAACTCTTGGAATAGGGGCGTGTTCAATCTGGAGAGGGGCAAACTTTGTCTATTTAATTAGGTACTAAAAACTCATGAACACTCATTTGCTTTCTACTTTGATCGTAAGATAATTTGATCACAACATCGATAAAAAAGGTGGCATACAAAAATTTTGGGCCGCTTGTCCTATATAACCTCGTTTTTTTGAGAATTTGGGGGCGTAGGTCACGCCAAACCGCTCGATATTTTTCTCGACTATGTGTTCAAGTTATCTTACCATCCAAGCGCAAATGGGTATTTACAAGTTTTTAGTACTTAATTAAATAGGAAAAGTTTGCCAACCTACAGATTGAAAACTCCTCAATTCCGAGAATAAAATAGTCGTAGGTTACGATGAGATGAAGACATTTACGAAGTTTCAACCGGAAGTTAATAATTTAATAAAAAGTACGACGGACAAAATCCTAGACGAACTTTAGATTGGAAGTTTAGTTTATTAGTTTACATTACTAAATGGACATAGAAAACCAATTATTTTTACAATTTCTATATTGGTTAAAATTCTTCATCATCGGGGGTTACAGAAACATTCTCTGGAACTTTCTTCTTTTTTATTATCGTGGGACAGTGTTGTTTTAAAGTGTTCAACATTTCCCCCAAAGACAATCCCTTTGCATCCAGTTTCTTCTGATTGTGATAAACAGCTGGGAACCGTTCCTTGTAATCATCTTTTAGTGATCTCTGAAACGCTTCCTCCCAATCTTTCCAATACTTTTTCAGTTTCCAATAGAGTTTCTCTTTCTAGAAATACAAAGACATACATATCAGTTAATGTTACTAACCAATTCATCGAGTTAACCTATGAATCGATTTTTTTTTCAACTCTATAATACACCTAAAGCTATTATGAAGTAATCATTAATTATTCATCGATTAAACTCATAGGCTACATCGATTTGTGGGATCATTTACTGTAAATAACCTGATTTAAAACCCAGTGCTGTTATTTCTCAATTTTACTTTACTCGCATATTTACACATAGTTCATTTTATATCAATATCTAAATTGTTAGAAAATGAAAAGGGTTTGTTTACCATATTATCCATAAAAAAAACCTGGTGCGGTGCGCGCATTACACACCTTTCACTTTTCACTCTCTTCTTATCAGAAATAAGTATTTTCAGACTTATGATTCCATAAATTCATAACCCTGTCAACATGTGCCCCCTCCCCTCTCCATCAAAAACTTTGACGCCACAACTTGTGCCATGAAACCACCTACCGAGCTACAGTGGCTTAATAATATAAATAATATAATAATATAATATAATAATAATATAATCATATAAATAATATAATAATATTATTAAGACATTGTAGCCGAGCAGTGTTGCCACGCGCTCTGTGACAAATTCTAGTAAGCTTGCGTATTGATAACTCGTACAATTGAAAGACCAGTGTTATATTTTTTTTATTAGATCAGAGCTTTTTATTTTTACCTCTGTTTATATATTTTAAAATATTTTTACATTATATTTTTTTAAGTTAATGGACCAAGAAGTAAAATTAGCTTAGTAAAATATATAAAAAAAAGTTTATTTATTTTTAAAAACTACTGGAAACTTTATAAAACAATTATAATAGCAAAACAAAGTTCTTAAAGAATACAGTATCCCTATAATTATTAAAAATAAAGGAAAAATACATTAGCATGACTTTACTCGATTGAAAATCGAAAATATTTTTTAGGCAACTTTTTAAAAAAAAAAAAATTTTTCTAGAATATATTCACAATTGCAGTTTTGTGAAAAAAATAATAATTACGAAGGAAATAATTCATATACTTTCTCGTATTTTATTTTATGCTCGATAAAAATTTCTTTTTAATTTTCTTTGACTGCATAACTTAAAAAATATATATTTACAAAAAAAGTTTCATGAAGGAAATAATGGATATAGTTTCTTATATTTTATTTTATACTCGATAAAAATCTATATTTTTTTTTTTTTAACTTTTGTTTTCTAGAAAATTAAAAAAAACACACACACACACACACATATATATATATATATATACACAATCATGGTTTAATGAAGGGAATAATAATTATACTCTAATAAAAGAAGGTATAATTGCAATTTATTCGACTATAAAGCAATAGAAGTTCAATATTTCATATTAATATAAATAATAATACAGTAAAAATAATTTTAAAACAACTCTAAACTTCATTCATAAAAATATAACCTTGCATACGTCAGCAAATTAGGAATGTAGCGATGGTTATTTAAAAGTTGACCAAATTTCCTAAAAAAGTACAGAAAATAGTTGATAAGAAATAAATAAGATGAATAAAAGAAAAATACATCATCAGTGTATAAGTTTTTTACGTATAAAAGTTCAAAAAAATTATCTTAACTACGTCAGTTACTGGTGCATTTACCCTAAATGTAATATTTTACGTTATCATCTAGTGAGCCAATCAAAGCAATCATCTTACTTCGTCTAGGCGTTTCTCAATCTTCGGTTTCTTCTTCAAGAACTCTTCTTCCTTCCTCACCATGTAATCAGCTTCTCTTCTTTTGCATATGATGTTTTCCAATATCTTATTAAATTTCTTCTTTTCTACTTCCAATTTTGTACGACTAGAATTTATAGTTCAACTAGTTTATAATTGTACTAATATTAATTGTAATTTCGATTTATAAAAGAAACTTAGTGAAAATAGTTTTAAATTGTAATTATCCTCAAGGTAGTATCCTAGGTCCTATCCTTTATACAGTTTATACAGCTGACATCCCAACCCAATCCAACACTGTCATCACCACATATGCCGATAACACATGTATCCTATCAGTCAATAACGACCCATCTATTGCATCCCAAACTCTTCAATCACACATCACAAGTCTTGAAAAATGGTGTCAAAATTGGAGGATTAAAATAAACTCCAATAAATCCCATCAAATTACCTTTACTCTTCGTCGTAAACCTATGACTTCCTGTCCTACAGTATCCTTTAACAATACTCCACTTATCCCTGTTGACCAAATCCGATACCTAGGACTCCACCTTGACAAACGACTCACTTGGAACCCCTATACCAGACTGAAACGACTAGAAACCGCCCGACGTTTCCGACTACTCCAGCACTTACTAGACAAACGCTCTAAACTGCCAACTATTTACAAAAGACTCATATATATTACTATAATAAGGCCTATTTGGACTTACGGGATCGAGCTTTGGGGCTCTACTAAACCATCAAATTCCTCTCGTATCCAATCCCTACAATCCAAAATCCTTCGTAAAATCCTTAATGCTCCTTACTTTGTCACAAATAAAATCATCCATAAGGACCTTAATGTACCATATGTTTCCGATTTAGCTCAATCCAGATACCTGTCCTTCCATAATAAACTTCTGAACCATCCAAACCCTCTTGTTTCCTGATAACCCTCCGAGACGTCTGAATAGCAAGGATGACGTCAGGACCTTTTAATTTAGAAATATAATTGGAGTGCTGCCAATGAGTAGTTTCTCTTGATGTTATACATGGCATGTTACTTGTTTCACATTTACTTGTTGTATTTATCATTTAATACAGTTTAAATTTCAATTAAAAAAAAAAATTAAAATATCGAAGGGACGATATCGATAGTCGATGATATCCAAGTAGATACTGATATCGTACGGAAAATATGGGATATTTCGATAATACCGGCTATCGATGCCCATCCCTAACCTCCACCAATGATATCGACAGAAGACTTGGTGAAGGAAGGAAAGTCGGGGCAATACTCACCGATATTGTTTGGAGCTCGAATATACAGCCCAGTACAAAGTGGCTAATATTCAAATCTATATACAAGCCAATAATGATACATGCCTCGGAGACATGGGTCATCAACGCAAAATACCGAAAAATACTGTTAGCAATAGAGATAGACTTTTAAAGAAGGGTAGAATAAAATCCAGAAGAGAAAGAATTCTGGAGCTGTTGAAGTTGGAAAGAAACATTATAGCAAATATTGAGAAGAAACGATTATGCTGGTTTGGGCAGCTCATAATAATGACGCCTGAAATATTGCCATGTTATCTAGAGAAGTGGAAGTAGAAGGGAGAAGGAAAAAAGGAAGTCCAATGGTAAAATGGAGGAGGCGGTGGAAGAAAGCCTGGCGTCAGAGAAGAACGAGCCTCAGATAGAGGATGATGGAAGAATATCATGAATGAGATTAACGTCAAGGATAACCAAAATAGTAGAAAAGTCTTTAATAAAAAATAAAATAAAATTCTATTACATACAGGGGGAGGGGGGGACTTTTAACTCTGACATAATTTCTTCACTCTCACTCCTGACCTAGGAAAAAACCTGTACAGCCTAGAAGTAGAAGAAGAGAAGGACAAAAAAAAAACAACTAGTAATATGCAACCGTGTAATATTAGTTATATATAACAAGATAAAAACAAAACATACTCCTCTAGAGCTTCGTTTTCAAAGTTCCTCAACCCCTTCATCATCTTATCCAGCTCGAAGGGGTCGACCTGCTTCTGCTCATCAGGGACATCGCTCTGGTCGACCTCCGTGAAGAGCAGGTACTTGATCTGCTCGATGTTCATTGTGCATATAGCCTTCTTCACGTATTCCTTACTCAGCAGCTCTTCGTACTTGAACGTGTCCTCCACTACTTTGGTCAGGTCCTTCGACATAACTTTACAATATAATTTCAAATAAGTAGGCAAATTTATTACGTAACATTAAAAATAAAGTAAATAACAAGATATTTGTAAAAAAAAATGACCCGATGACAGAAATTGAGAAATTCTATATTCCTCAAAGCGAATGTACTTCCATATCTATTTAAAAATATTGGTAAAGAGATGGAAATAGATTCGGAAGTCTCAAGCAGGAAATCAAAAGCTAATACGGTCTACTATACTATATGCAATACCGTAACATCTGTTCAAGTCTGTCTTTCTACCGGTACTTCTTTATGGAGCAGAGAGTTGGATCCTGAATGAGAGGTTACAAAGCAGTGTTACTGCCAATGAGATGAAGTTTCCTAGAAGAATTTTTGGGAAAACGCGAAGAGACTGTGTCCGAAATGACAGGATCAGAGAGGAGCTAAAGATAAACCCCGTGCGGAAAACTCTGGAGAAGTGACAGCTGAAGTGGTACGGGCATGTCTGCCGGATGGATCACCACAGAGACCCAGTTAAAACCCTAGAGATGAGGCCGATGGGGAGAACACCGAGAGGGCGACCAAGAACCTCAATATACTTATTGTATACAATAAGCCATTGCTGAGCTTACCCCTGACAAAATTTCGTTCCAATGCGGACATACAGACAGACAAATATTTTTTTAAAGTGAATTTGGTGTCTGCAATGTATGAAACGGAAAGATATCATAAAACGGGTTGATTCTATTCAATGTACAGACAAAATCTTTATTTTATTTATATAGATATTAATGTTTTAAAAATGTTTATAATACCTATGAAAATAATCGGTAATAATCTGTCTGAAAGATTTGAGGTTCGTTCGGGTTTAAAACAGGGGGATTCTCTTTCGCCTGTCCTGTTCAATTTGGCATTAGAACATGCCATTAGGGAGGTAACGCGTACCGAGAAAGGGTTGGATCTGGGTGGGGCAACATCCGGTAAAGAACTAGGACTCGAAATAAACGTGGATAAAACAAAATATATGGTTAGCTGCAAAAATGGCGATACTACTGGTGATATCGATATAGATTGTAATATGTTTGAACAGGTAGATAAATTTAGGTATCTAGGTTATACGATAACTAGAAAAAACGAAATTGAAGAAGAAATTAAGGTTAGACTGAAGGCGGGAAATGCTTGTTATTTTTCTGTGATAAAACTACTTAGTTCGCGTTTCTTGTCCCGAAACTTAAAAATTAGAATCTATAAAACAATTATCTTGCCTACAGTTCTTTATGGGTGCGAAACTTGGCCGCTTACATTAAGGGATGAGCAGCGTCTTAAGGTTTTTGAAAATAAAGTAAAACTGTATCCGAGTAATATAATTGAGATAATTTCATCGCGGCGAATCAAATGGGCTTGTAAAGTTGTTGGACTTAGTAACGAGAGAATTCCGAAAAGGTTAATATTTGCTGTGCCGAATGGTAAGCGTCCGAGGGGTAGACCGAAGCGAAGGTGGGAAGATTGCATTAAAGTCGATCTGAAGGGACTGGGTTTGGACGGCGAACGGTGGAGGGAGGTGTGTAATAAGCGATTGGTGGTGTCGGCATCGAACCTTCGGGTTCGCTAAGCCTTTTTTATTTATTTATTTATTTATTTATTTATCACCAATGAAAATATCGATTATCGATATTTCAAGTCGGATATTTTCATGATATCGATTGTTATAGACTGCTATTATTATCGATGTCGGGCCTCCGGTAGCTCCCATAGCTACCAGATAGATATTTTAAAGAAACATGATACGATACCTGTCCTTTCGATAGGCGCTTCATGACGTTTTTGTCGCTGTCGTGGATGAGATCGAGCAGCAGGCGCTTGTAGTCTTGGAGGTGTTTCTTCTCACTCTGGCTGACCTCGTCGATCTCTTTTTGGTACCTCGACTCTTCCTCTTTGTACTGCTCGTAGACTTCGATTAGATGTTTCGTCAGAGCTTCCACCTCGGCAGTCTCTTGATCGATGAACTTTTGGGGATTTTCTTCGAATTCTTTTCCAGGTGATTTAACTTGGGCCTGGAAAAAAAAAAATCATTTGAAGTAATATAAATATTATTTAAAAATAAACTAATTAATGGATCAACTACAACACTATTGTGTGGCCGAGTGGTGGCACAGGTGTTGCCCGGCAACCTAATACCGAATTATACATAATAGTTCGCGTCCCGGTGCTCGTGGATTTTTTACTTTGACATTAATCCCCTGCCCTCATCCCCTGGCCCGGAAAAAACACGTATTGCCTAAAAGGCGAGGTAGTACAGAAAACAAAAAAAAAAAGATTTAAGTTTCATTAATCTCTGTCCTACAGTAACCTTTAATAATATCCCACTTATCCCTGTTAAACAAATCCGATACCTTGGACATCATTTAGACAAACGTCTAACTTGGAATCCGCATACCAGACTGAAACGACAAGAAACCGCTCGACGTTTCCGACTACTCCAACACTTACTAGACAAACGCTCAAACCTGGTTTTTAGTCTTCCACGTGGTATCTTGCCTACTCCGTGCATTATATTCCGCCCATATTAACCTCTACGGTTAACCTCTCTATTCGTGTGAATAACCGTACATGGCGGCCAAGATCTTTAAAACTGAAGGGTTCGCTCACTTAGAAATGCGTGGTGTGGGAATTTGAAACGTGACGCAAGGACTAGACCACCAGATTTACCTATTATTCTTTCAAACCTATCAATGAAAGTTTATTTAAACATTATTCTGCTTTTTTTTTTCTTGTTTAATTTATTGAAAAGGATACTTTTCTGTGTTTTTGACGTTTGATTGAAGATAATTTCAAGTTGAATAAATAAATACGACTAGCAATCTAGAATAAAATGCTATGAAAATTACAGGCTATACCTGAAACGAAAAGTACGAATTATATTTTTACCTAGGATTCCACCTGGACAAACGTTCAACCAGACTGAAACGACAATAAACCGCTCGACGTTTCCGACTGCTTAAGACTCACTTACTAGACAAACGCTCTAACCTTTCAATTAATTACAAAATACTCATATACATGACTACAATAAGAACTATTTGGACTTACGGAGTTGAGCTATGGGGCTTCACTAAACCATCGAATTCCTCTCGTATCCAATCCTTACAATCCAAAATCCTTCGTAAAATCCTCAGTTCCTTACTTTGTCACAAATAAAATCATCCATAATTACCTTAATGTTCCTTATGTTTTCGACCTGGCTTAATCCAGACACCTATCCTTCCATAACAAACTTCAGAACCATCCAAACCCTCTCGTTTCTAACCTTGCTTCCTCTTCGATCCCTTACAACCCTCCGAGGCGTCTGAAAAGAAATCTTCTTTTGTAAATACATTTTTAGAGTGCTACCAGTGGGTAGTTTCTCAACAAGTGGTTTCATGTTATTATATTCTTTTGTTCACATTTACTGAATGTATTTTTATTTGTAATACAGTTGTAAATATTATCAATAAATAAAAGTTTCATTAAAATCGTTACAGTCGTTTCAATGATACAATCTGAAGGAACTCACGTTTTTGGCCGCCATTTTGAAACGAAACGGAGGATGGTAATATAGTATTTAGAGGATCAACCTCGAGTGACTTCTGACTTTGATACTGACTGGCATTGATATTGAAACTGCGGATGGCAGTTGTGGTTGATCTTGAAACACAAAATCTTAATTTTTTATAAGGGGCCAACTTATATTGTTCTTTACCAACTATAAACGTTAATTATTAAAGAGATCAATATTAGGTTAGCAGATAATTTTTTTTGGTCTTGAAATCTTCATTCGCACGAGTCATGGTAGTGACAATTAGAAGATTTGTTTTTAGGTAGAAAATGGTAGGCATGATGAAGAATGGAGCCCAGCAGCACCTCTTCCCTGGCCTGTTTACATCCTAAAATCAGGAAAGGAGATCTCTCATCCAGCTCCTTTTCAGTCGTCTCCTGATGAGCATTTCAGCCGTGGCCATGTCTTTGATAAGTCCATTGTGATGTCCGTGTAGTTTTAGATGAAATCGGGAGTAGAGAGTACGTATGTGTTGGTCAATGGTTGATTGTCTTAGGTCGTTATGTAAAGTTTTGTAATTGACATACTAGTGGGTTGCAGTTATTAGTCTTAAAATTTAGATTGAAAAGATTGTAGTTTTTGTAGGTAAGTCTTTTGCTGAACCGGAAATCTGTGAGGCGAATGTCTCAATGGGTTTGAGCAGGTGTATGTTTTTAGTTTTTGTCTGATTTTCAATTTTTATTTTGAAAAAAGTGAGTATAGTATTTCCAATCTTCTGTTCAAAGTCGTTTGTTCGTTTCATTTTTACGTGTGGACCCCAGGTCATCCTTCTGTCAAATATTAGTCCGAGGTAGCGTAAAGTGTCTGTCTGAGGAATTGATTGTTGCTGATATAAACTGGTGGGTATGTGTCTAGTCGAAGTGTAAATGTTATGTGTTGTGATTTGTCATGTTTTAACCTAATTTTCCAAAGTGAATATCATTTTATGGGTTAGTCATGCCATGGGTATATACAATGTAGAGTAAAGGAGCCAATATTGATCCTTGGTGCACCCCTGCTGATACTGGTCAAATTGAGGAAATTTCTAAACCTTGTCGGACAGAGAAGTATCTGTCGAAAAGGAAAGACTTTAATTCGTCGAAAGTTAAACACATATGAATAAATAATAAAATAATAATAATTGTTTGAATTACTTGAGTGAGATGGCAAAACAGCTTGATGTCCCTCATTAATACCTTTCGCCTTTCGATCTCGTTAAGAAACAACTTCATCAACTTGTAAAAACTGACTTTTTGTTTCTTCCGTTCTCTGTCCCTTGAGGTCTCTCTTGGGATTCTGTGAAAGGGAGAGTAAATTTTTGGTTATAATTTTAAATATGATTTATTATTTTTAAAAAAATTTTTAATCTAATAATATTGAGAACATTTTTCTTCTTTAAAATTTACAAAATATAGTTACGATAAAAATAATAAATGACTTATATTTGTATGAAGGATTAAAATATCCAGAGGAGATTTTTCCTGTATAATTTAACCCCGACATTGAAAATTTTTTTTTTGCTGAAACGTGAAAATAAACGAACAAAGTCTTCTTACTCTATGAAGACTTTAGTAAATTACCTGTGTGATCTCACTATTATATTCCTGGATTAGTATTTTTAAAAATACTAGATCTTAATCCAATAAATCATGTTTGGTTGAAGCTCCATGTGTGAAACCTAAATTGAATTTAGGTTTACCTCCATACCAGACTGAAACGACTAGAAACCACGCGACGTTTTCGACTACTGCAGGACTTACTAGACAAACGCTCTAAGCTTTCAATCAATTACAAACGACTCATATATATGACAATAATAAGACCTATTTGGACTTACGGAATTGAGCTATGGGGCTCTACCAAACCTTCAAATTCCTTTCGTATCCAATCCTTACAATCGAAAATCCTTCGTAAAATCATCAATACTCCATACTTTGTCACAAATAAAATCATCCATAAAGACCTTAATGTTCCATATGTTTCCGATCTGGCCCAATCCAGATACCTGTCCTTCCATAACAAATCCTCTCGTTTCAAACCTTGCTTCCTCCTCGATCCCTGATAACCCTCCGAGGCGTCTGAAAAGAAGATGGCCTCGGGACCTTGTAATATAGAACTTTAGTTTGAGTTCTACCAATGGGTAGTTTCTCTTCATGTTGTACATGTCATATTACCAATGTCCCATTTACTTATTGTATTTTCTATGTAATACAGTTTAAATTTCATTAAAATAAAAAATTTAGGTTAAGACTAAAATTTAAATTTAGACTAAAGCCTGCTGATGTTCCTCAAGGCAGTATCCTAAGGCTTAGTATAGACACATTCTATACAGTTGACATGCTAACACAGTCATTACCACGTATGGCGATGACACATGTATCCTATCAGTTAATAATGACCCATCAATTATTGACGCAGTATGGGGCCCTTTAGATTTTCTTAATCGGTTTTCTTAATATAAACTATTTGTAATATGTAATATAAAATTATAGGAATGAAAAAAATATCAGGATTCGCAGTAAAAAAATGATTATTTTTTAAAATGTTTAAATTTCTTTATTTAAAGAAATTTTGACTGCAAATACTGACAATTATTTTCATCCTTATTATAATATCGTTATATCATTAAAAGAAATAATCGCGATTTCTACAAACAAAACTTGTGCTACAATGTTGTTTTGTTTCTCTAAATAAGTATAGATCTTCGTTTTTTCTGTTTATGTAATATATTTTTTCACCAGAACCTTTCTCATCACCCAAATCCCGTTGTACAATCCCTATCAAGCACCACCCATCCCTACAATCCCCTTCGTAGGTTAAATTAAAGCGGCAGTGGCCACGAGACCTTTTGTAAATATGGGTATTTTGGAGTTCTAGCAATGGCCAGATTCTCCACTCAAGTCATGAGTGTCTGTGGCTGTAGCGCTCTTACTCATCCTCCGCTGGTTTTAAATACCAGTGAAGTGGTTGAGGGAGAAGCGTAGGGATCTCCTAAGCCTCCCTTTTCCCTCCACATGTGGAGGGGAGAGGATTGGTTCGGAGATCACCTGTTGTAAATAATGTACATAGGTATGTTTTATATAAGGTGTTTGTTTTACTTTTATTTCTATTTTTACTTACTTTTGTGTATATATATATATTTTTTTTCTTTTCTCTTTTGTTCTTTTTTCTTATTCTTTTGCTATTACTTTATTAATTTATATTTTTGTATATACGGTATGAATGTACTCTCTGAACTCTATTATAAGTGTCCTTAACTGTGACAAATTGTAATATTTCTCAATAAAGTGTTTAAAAAAATAAAATAAATATGTAATATATTTGTAGATTTTTTACAGAATATTACTTTGAAATAAAGAATTTTTTTATTGTTATTTATGAAATTTACAACTGTACAAATTAATATACATTCAGCAAATGTGATAATGAGAAATACATGACATGACAAGGGTTGTAGAGAATCTACCCATTGGTAGCACTCTAGTAAAGTTTCTAAATTAGGAGATCACGAGGCCATCTTCTTTTCAGACGCCTAGGAGGGTTATCAGGGTTCGAGGAGAAAGCACGGTAGTTAACGAGAGGATTAGGATGGTTCTGAAGTTTATTATGGAAAGATGTGGATTGGGCCAAATCAAAAATATATGGAACATTCAGGTCATTATAGATTATTTTATTTGTTAAAAAGTAAGGAGCATTAAGGATTTTACGAAGTATATTGTGAAGATTGGATACGAGAGGAATTCGGTGGTTTAGTGGAGCTCCAAAGCTCAACTCCGTTAGTCCAAATAGGTCTTATTGTGGTCATGTAAATAAGTCGTTTGTAATTAATTGAAAGGTTAGAGCGTTTGTCTAGTAAGTGTGTCTTAAGTAGTGTGTCTTAAGTAGTCGGAAACGTCGAGCGGTTTAATGTCGTTTCAGTCTGGTTAAACGATTGTCCTGTAATTTTCATAGCATTTTATTCTAGATTGCTAGTCGTATTTATTTATTCAACTTGAAATTCTCTTCAATCAAACGTCAAAAACACAGAAAAGTATCCTTTACAATAAATTAAACAAGAAAAAAAAAAAGCAGAATAATGTTGAAATAAACTTTCATTAATAGGTTTGAAAGAATAATAGGTAGATCTGGTGGTCTAGTCCTTACGTCACGTTTCAAATTCCCACACCGCATTTCTAAGTGAGCGAACCCCAAGGTCAGTAAAACTACCAGGTTCGCTCACTCAGAGGGAGGAATTGAGCTCTGACGTAGCCAAAAGACTGAATTTACCCCTCCGGCCTTTGTTTCTGGACATTTTAAGATTATTATTTACTTTTCTACATTAAATCAATACTGTATTGCCAAATAACTTATTAATTTATTAATTTTAATAAATTTGAAAGGTGAGAGAAAGGTTGATTTGATATTTGGTTTATTCTGAAGCAAATAAAATGTAATTTAACAAGTTGATGTATGATTTTTTGCAAAGTACCACAATACTACTTTTTAAATATTTCAAATAAATACAGAGCATAATATAAAATAATAGAAATATTGAAAAAAAAAAAAAAAGTATTTAATCTAACATTAAAGAAATGTTTTCTTTCCGTGAATTTTTGTAAATATTACATTTTTATGTCATAAGTAATCCTATGTAGTGATTTTTCTCAAGTTTTTTTGGCTTTGATTTTATGTTTTCTTAATTTTTGTAAAAATCATTGGGTATTTAAAAATTATATTCTCTTAAATACCTGTTGCTGAAAGAAAGGCTTTCTTCATTAATTTCTACATTTTGTTTCCTAAGAAAAAGATAGTAAAATTTGTTTTTACAATATTTTTACATTTACATTTTAAAATCCAATCTTTTCTTCGAGCGTCCTTTGGAAAAGTATGAAATTTTCCTTCCCATCTTCTTTGTGTCAATTAAATTATCGTTGCAAGATGCAACTGCGCATTTTGTACCCGGCATTCTTTAGAATTCTATTAATAATTATGTTATTATGATAAATACAAGAAATACTAATAAGAACAAACGAATTCACAGTAACATGTTATTAAAAAAAAAAATAAATATTCGTTATAATATTATTTTAGAGACGGATAATTAGTTGACTGTTAAGATTATTAGGTGAAAATAAATTATTAGGATGCAGTCAAATTCTTTTATTTTTTTAATTAAATTTATTTATTTAAAGAAATTTCGACTGCAAATCCTGACATAGATCTTCACACTTATAATATTATTATAATATCGTTATAATATTAAAAGAAATACCCAGGAGATCTACAAACAAAATTACACAAACATTGTGCTAAAATGTTCTCTAAATAAATATAAATCTTAGTTTTTTTTATTTATCTAATATATTTATATATTATTTACAGAGATTTTGAAAAAAAGAATTTATAAATAATCTTAATATCAATTTCATTCTTTTCTTTCAGGCCTGAAATTTTCATAGCATTTTATTCTAGGTTGATAGCCGTATTTATTTATTTATCTGCTTGAAATTATCTTCAATCAAACGTTAAAAATTCAGAAAAGTTTTCTTCTCAATAAAATAAAACTCAATAAAAAAAAAAATCAGAATAATGTTGAAATAAACTTTCATTAAGAGGTTTGAAAGAATAATAGATAGATCTGGTGGTCTAATCCTTACGTCACGTTTCAAATTCCCATACCACACATTTCTAAGTGAGCGAACCAGGCAGTTTTAAAGACCTTGGTTATTCACACGAATACAGAGGTTAATATGGGCGGGATATAATGCACGGATTAGGCATGAGACCACATGGAAGACTAAAAACCAGGTGGATATATCAAATGGATTTATGGATATATATATATATATATATATATATATATATATATATATATATATATATATCCATGTATATATGTCGTACGACATGTAGATATATGTCGTAAGTAAATGACAAAAAAGTCCTCAAAACTAAATATTAGTTAGGAATGAACTCACTTTTCCTTTTCAGATTCTTCTTCAATTGATTCTTCTTCTCCTTCCATCATCAGTTCTGTTAAATTATTAATTATTAAACAAAAAATCAGCAATAAATAGACATAAAAACATTAACAGCACATTTTCTAATCATAAATAAATGTAGGATTAAGAAACAGCCTGTTCACAGAAACCGCGTGGTATAATTTTGTAAATATCAAACTGTCCTTAATCATTATGAACAAATTAAAGGACCTTTTGACTAAAATCCTTAAAAATAAAGATTATTATCCTTAAAGATACCATCGATGGCCTTCCATTCCTCGTCCTCCAACATGATGACATGTTCTTTTTCTTCTTCTTCCACTTTCGGCTCTTTGGGTTGCTCTTCTTCTATGTGGCTGAACTCTTCCCTCACCATTCCTTCCTCCTCGTCAATCCACTCGCTTTTGAACTCTTCTCCTATTACTGCGGAATAGACAAATTGATATTATCTTATCACATTTTATTTTTATATAAGGAATGCGTGGAAATGAACGTCTCAAATGCCTACAATGGGTAGCATGCAGGAAAATAATTTTGAAAAGTCTCCCAGCCATATATTGGGTTGCTAAATAAGTCTTTTTGGGTTTTCAGAGTGAAATAAAACTCAATGTGTTATAGATATAAATTTATTTTAATCTACAATATATTGACCATTATTTAATATGACTTTTTTTTCCCCATCTTACCACAAACTGCATAATGTCATGTTCATAGAATGTCTGCAGTTTATTGTTAAAAAACTGATCCAAGAGGTTTTTGACGCCTCTTCCTTTTGAAATTTCTTTTCATTCATAGAGTTCTGCAGAGACCGGAATCACTTGGAGCTAGGTCTGGTGAATAGGGAGGATGGGACAAAAGGTCACATCTAAGGCTCAAAAATTTATTGCGAGTCAGAAATTAGGTGTGAGGCCTAAAGTTTACTTGGTGGAACACAACACCTTTCCGATCATTCATAACTCTTCAGGATGTTCTCCAAATTCGATGTCACTATATCCGTTAGAAAGCTGAATTATTGCTCTTCAAAGCCGTATGAATCATTTTTTTATTTAATGCCTACATAATGAATAAATAAACAAAAATTCCTTATTGGTTTTTATTTTTTATCTCCATTTGTAGTTTGTTTACGAAAATCCTGTTAATGACATTTTGTGTAGTTTGTAGTGAGCCTAAATACCTGCTAAATTTCTTGTAGATAGCTAAATTCGTATTGAATTTATAACATTTTTTGTGATTTTAGAAAAAAAAAAAATCATGTGAGGGACTCAAACATTAAGCCTGGAAACATAGCCGAGCTTGTTCAAATGGTTTTCTAAGTTTGTCCGCATTTAGGGCCATAGCAATCTCTCGCACCGATTGGGTGGGATTTTCATGAACAGTTGCCTTAACACAGCTCGTTTCAATTTCATGTGGACGAGTAGACCGTTGAGCATCATTGATGTCAAAATTTCCTGAATTAAATTTGGAAAACTAATTTTGACAGATGCGTTCGGTTAAGGCGTCATCACCATAAACACTGCAATTTTTCTAAGAGCTTCTGCAGCACGCTTATTTTTTAAAAAATAATACAACAAAATATGCCGATAATGAATGATATTTTCTTCCATATTCACAGTGCAATAGCAAACACAATACTAAGCTAGTTCCAACAAGAGTTAACAGATATAGTTGTTGACATATCACAAACAGGATAAACAATCCACCTTAGAGACTAATTCATCAAATAAGAAGTGTATCATAGTGACATAAAAATAATCAGAAAAACCGAAAGGACTTATTTGCAAACCTAATATTAGAACCAGCTTCATCCCAGCATTGTATACTCTTGAATGTTACCTTTCCAATCAGCGTTAAGAAATAGGCCCTAATTAAGCAATTCGCACAAATATTCACATTAATACATCTACATTTTAAATGTAATATTGTCATCAACCCAGGAAAAACAATTAATTCCTCCCGTTAATAATACATAGGATATAGTTATGTCCATATTGTGTTGCCATTTCTTCACTAAACAAACATTTCTGCGAATTATTCGTACAAGCCAACTTATATTGTAAGAATATATTAATTAAGAAGAAGATTTTAGTTTGCAAACCTTATTAAGGTTAGGAACAGTTGTATAAGGTATTTTGAAATAGATAACTGTTGGAACTGCTATATATAACTAACAGTTTTGCCCATCACTAGTACTTTGCGATAGTAACGGTTCCAAGCTCTGGATTGGGGCAAATACCATTATAACTCGGTATCATTATCGCTTCTCTTAACTGTTACATTAAATTTAATAAAGTAACTAAATACAAATTAATTACATTCATGTTCCGAATTATAACGGTTTTTGACAATCCTCTTTCGTATTCTTCTCCGCCTCCTATGCGCTTTTTCATCTTCTATTTCACTTTCCACCTCTAACTCTTCAACTTCGTGCGTCGCGCCATTTTCGTCTTCTTTCTCTAAAATGGAAGATTTAATAAATAATATATTGTTGGAATGTTTATTAATTCTAAAAATATTAAAGTAAACTGTTTCTAATCGACCACGATATGAAATATTGTATCAATTTTATAAGTTGAGGAATGGGGTTGGTTAAAATATCATACGTTTTGGTTTTAGATTGTCTCTCTATATAGGGTGTCCCGTAAGTAAGAAGAAATTTTGATGAGAGTGGCAGCTAACCTCAAGACTAGTGTTGTCCATAATCGGTCTTGGTCTTGCACTTTGCAAGACCAACACTAGGACTGGTAAAAAAAATTGATTTTTTAAAATAAAATTTAAGGCTAAATAGTTACTAATACTCGACAATCTTAGTTACTATATGCTAATAATTGGTATAGTCAATATACTTTTGTATTTAACTCCTCTAATTTATCATTCGGGCTTAGTTAAGTTTCTCCTATTCCCATCCCCATCCCCACATATATTATTACAGTAAGGCACGAAATCGGTTTTGTACCAAATATAAGCTCCTGTCATGCTCAAATACCACGAATGGGGTACCGTTGGGTTCAGAATTTCACGAGGGGTTAGCGAATCGTATTCTCCACTTTTGTTTTTCTTTCTAAAATAAATAAAGTTGATACAAACATTTTGATAGGCTTCGATACTGGAACGGTGGTAGGTCTGTAGATCGATACGGGACAAATTGGATCTTGAAGATTTTGACGCGTGCAGCAAGACCCGGATAGTTCCTCCGGAACTATCGGATCCTCCTTTTTAAATTTTCATCTTTCCAAGGATATATTATAAATATACACTCTTACTATTATTTTCGGAGATTCATTTTCAACCTGAATAAGCATTTTTCTTTTTTCCTGCAGTTTTCAATTATCATATTCTTTCAAACTTCATATTTAGCCATTTTTTATAGTTACTTATACTTATATGAATGTCATTCTTAAAAGAGAGTTCATTTTTTTAAGTAAACCCTATTAAAGGTACTTTAGAGGAGGACGTATATGAACATTGGGGCAGAAAGAAACACACACACAGACCATTTTGAGGTACTTGGTTATTTGGACTCAGGGGAGCTCAAAACACGTATTTCCGTTGAAAACTCAGATTCGAAAATTTTCACGATCGCATTACTATACTTCTTACCCTTACTATATATTACATATATATATATAAGTAAAAGTAAAAAAGTTAATAAATAATAAATCTACTTACTAATTGGCTGTTAACCATTTGCAATAGGTGTACTCACCCACAGTTACGTACTTGAACTTCCTTTCTTTCCCTATCAAGTATTCTTCTTTGAAGTCTTCTTCTCTTTCTTCTACATCACCACTTTCTAGGACTATAAATAAAGTAAAACGTCGTTTCAATCGTGGATGAAGATATTTAGTTATGTATATCCTTAACAGCAAATCAACTTACCGTCCCTGATCAAGACAGTCTTGGTGACCGTTTCTACCAACATACAGGCGTCGTATTCTTCTTCTGTGTCTTCTTCCTCGTCTCTTTCGTTCTTCTTTTCTAAAATAAATTAAAAGTGTATTTAAAAAAAAAATATTCAACTTCTAACAAACCATCGAAAGGTAATATTAATATTATGACAGTATTGGAATATCGTAACAGAACTCTCACTTTAGATAGCTAAAATTCCACTAATTAACATGTTTTTAATTATATAATCAGCGAAACATGTATATTATGAATATACAATATGAAAGGCGCAGACTTTTAGGAAAGAACGAGGGGGCGACTATATCGTTTTGCTCTCTCCCCGCTCTAACTACTAAAAATAAACAACATTTAATCTACAGGAATGAATAAAATATGTAAACTTAAATCAGTTAAGGAAATAAAGAAAATTCATCAAGATGACCTATCTTCCAATCACAGGCGAATCTACGTGTGGGGAGGGGGCTTGAAAAAATATCTTTAAAAGTATTATTGTTCATCTAATTACATTTAATAGGACTTAGAGAATCATTTAAACACCATTTCATATAACTATATTTATTGAGATATATCACAATGTCACAAATAAGGACATTTATAATAGTGTTCAGAGTGCACACTCACGCTCTATCAACAATAAATTAGGATTATTTGTTTATTGATAAATATTACAATATGTCTCAATAAAGGACATTTATAATAGAGTTCACCCCCATACCAGACTGAAACGACTGGAAACGACCCGACGTTTTCGACTACTGCAGCACTTACTAAACAAACGCTCTAAGCTTTCAATCAATTATAAACGACTCATATATATGACAATAATAAGACCTATTTGGACTTAAGAAATTGAGCTTTGGGGCTCCACTAAACCATCGAATTCCTCTCGTATCCAATCCTTACAATCCAAAATCCTTCGTAAAATCCTCAACGCTCCTTACTTTGTCACAAATAAAATCATCCATAACGACCTTAATGTTTCCGAATTGGCCCATCCAGATATCTATCCTTCTATAACAAACTGCAGAACCTTCCGAACCCTCTTGTTTCAAACCTTGCTTCCTCCTCGATCCCTGATAACCCTCCGAGGCGACTGAAAAGAAGATGGCCTCGAGACCTTCTAATATAGAACTTTAATTTGAGTTCTACCAATGGGTAGTTTCTGTTCATGTTGTACATGTAATGTTACCAATGCACATTTACTTGTTGTATTTTCTATGTAATACAGTTGTAAATTTCATTAAAATAAAAAATAAAAAATAATAGAGTTCAGAGAGCACATTCACACCATATTTACAAAATCAAAAAATAAATAAGGTAATTTTAAGATAATATAAAGCGAAATAAGAACAAAATAAAATATCATAGTGAAGGAAGAAAATATAAATAATAGTAATCATAGAATAAAAATTAATGAATATAATAGAATTAAAATTTTCTTTAAAAAAAAAGTAATCATTATATAAATAGGCAAACACAAAACGTTTCCGCCCCTTTTACTCCTCTATTATTCAATCGATTTTCTTCATTCTTTTTTTGTTTAATAGATATTGATGAGCTTTATTGTTATCAATAAATAAAAATATTAAATAGTATGTGAATAAAAAAATGTAATTGGTAGTTTGTTCAAAACGGCTTATCTCCGAAAATTCTTCACGGATTTCTTTTAAATTTCGACACAACGTCGCAAAAATATTTAGAAGTTTTTCTGTATACGTTTCATTATCATTTGGCCTTTCCTTTCGAAATGGCGGCCGAAAAACTTGATTCGCTTTAGACTGTAGCGCCAATATGGCTTCAACGAATAACTCAAAAAGTACACATTTTTTTATTGATAATACCAATATTTATTTTAAAGCTTCCTAAATTCCCTACAAAATAGAAAAAAAACTTATCGAAATCTGATTATTTGTTGCAGAGATATTTCATTTTAAACATTTAGTACTTTTTCTTTTGTAAATTCGATTTCCTTTATTTTGTTTTTTGATAAATCGAAAACTTTTCATTTACTGAGGTAATTGGGTCTATTATTTGAAGAGATGATATCATGTAATCTTAGTTGAATGATACCTAATAAATTAAATTTAAAAATATATTCTATAGTTGTACTCATTGTTAACTTAAATACTGCACAAGCATTAGTTAATGGAACAGGAATGAGACTGAACTATTAACGGGGGCTATTTTAAATTAATGAATTTTAATTCCAAGAATTAATTTAACATTTTCTTATTTAACATTCGACTTTCAAAGAACAACGTTCTTTGGTATGACCATAATAAAATCGCATGAGAAAAGTTTTGGAAAAATGTGTGTATTATTGCAATTAAGTAATTTCGCATGGACAATTATATGTGGCAGCAAGTAGAGCGAGCGCGTTCATTTTGAAATTTATATTTTCAATGGCAATGGGCATGGCAATGCACTAAACAATAACAGAACATTCAAAAAGAACATTATTTACATCGAAGTTCGGAATAAAAATGGATTTAAAGTTAATTTAAATTGGTAATTTAAATTTATTTTTTACTTGCTTAATCATAACATTAATTTATTGTGATAATAACACACATAAATTAAAATTAAAATTAAATATTTTTGAATGAGTCTATTTTGTATTGCTTATAAATAATTTTAAATGACTTAAGCTCGATTTTTAATTGAAATTTTGTTTGTATTAATAAATGAGGATTTTTGAATCCTGATTTACTCTTTATTTATTTACTTATATCTTTTTTATTTAATTATATCTTTTCCTCAAGTTGTTAATTGCTATGGTCAAATTTTGACCACTGGATGAACACTAGTAAAAATAAACAACGTAGAAGCAGGCGTACCTATTTACACTCGGCCATGGGAACTCCGAATCATACTTGTCCCTCCCATATGTGGAGGGAAAGCGACAACAATAAATAATACAGAAAAAAAAAATATTAAAAGTAAATGTATATAAACAAACAAAAATAAACTAAACTAATAAAAACAACTACTCACATACACACACGATTCTATACAATACCTAAAAATAAAATATAAAAAATCATTCACTCAAGATCTCCGAGCCAAGCCTTTCTCCCCACTCGAGGAAGGAAAGGCAGGACTCTAGAAGATCCCAGCGTCTCGCACTTAGCCGCATTACTGGTATTAATGACCAGTAGAGGCTGCTCAGAGGCACTATTATCACACATACATGGAAGCTAGACAGAAGATGATAATGAAGAAGGAAGAATGAAGAATGAAGAATGAACTGCTAGCATATCCTTGTTCATGTTTTCTATCATTCACGCCTCAGTAACACACTATTACAGGCACCCCTATCGCCATATTGGCATGGAAGACTGGGGTAGATAAATAAATAAAATAACCTACTTTCTTTTCAATGATTTATAATTAGAGTTGTATAATAAATTTAAGGATGGAAATTGGGATTGGTCAATTCTCTATGAAATTTCCTCTCGTTCATTGACAGTTCATTCATCAAAATTTATCGCTGCTGAGAGCCGGAAAATCGATGCATATCGCCGTATTATATTTAGTGTATGTTGATTATAATTTTTAAAAACTGTTGAATTAAAAAAATACTCACTTCGAGGCACGGTTCTTTTCCTTTTTATAATTTTGTACTTTCTTTCTTTTAGTTCTCGTATAACTGAAACAAAAAATTTAATCGAAATATATGCTGTAAATATATTAATATTAAATATATATATATATATATATAATAAATAGACAAAAAAGATAATAATAAATAAAAATAAAATAAATAAAAAATTATTAGGATGGAATTTTATAATAAATTTTTCCACAGTATTTATTTTTTGTAAATATTTTTTTATTTGTCTCTTCTTCAAGTGCATAAGCATTTGAAATATTAAGGCGACCGAAAAGTAATTTTGTTTTATTACATTAAATTCGAACACATACTTCACGTAAATTTTTGTATTTCTATTGGATATTTAGGAAGTTCCTTACTATTCTCATATTGTTCAGGAGCACAGCTTTCTGGATTCCATTTATCGTGGCTGTTGATAGGATTCCAACTTCTCGGTAGCTTCTACAGTGGATTTTGCAACCAGCCCATTGCTAGAGATCACTAAAGCACTTACTGTCACTTTGTTCAGTCTGTACAGATCTTTTAACTCAGCTGCAAGAGTTTGATACTTCCGATTTTTTTCAGCGGAGTTGGTGTTCATATTACCTTCATATTACTATCGATCAACACGATATAAGGTCTGTTAAGGATATGGTATGGTTTCTTATATAAGATTGATTCCAGTACAATTTCATTTCTTCCTTCTGGATAAGTTATTTAGGGTTGTATCTATGATAAGGTATCAAATAATTGAGCCGTTTATTTTGAAAGTGGCTTTATATCAGTAAAACATTTCAGGTTGCTTATATTCCGAGCAAATACGATTAATTTTGGACACATAAGTTTTCAGAATTAGTTCAATAACTGAACAGTGTAGTTTGAAAGTGGCCCAACTCCATTTATTTTATACTTACATCAAGATATTTACTATTGACAATGTTGGAAATGAAAATTTTATTTGATAATTTTATTGTAAATGAAATGAGACAAAAAGATTTTGTATTAACAAAATTATTAGAAGACGCAATTTTTAGAAGGATAAAGAATTCTGAGAAGTAGTTAATTGGGGAGTGGGGTCAAATAAATACTAAATTAAAATATAGTAATTATTTAATTTTTGCCGACGTTTCGACCCACTTTGCAGGTCGTCTTCAGGGCGTAGGATGTAGCACTGCGGGAGGCAGTTGAAACCAGGTGTCGGCAAAAATTAAATAATTACTATATTTTAATTTAGTATTTATTTGACCGCATCCCCCCCCCCAATCAACTCCTTCTCATAATAGAGATTACATTAGATAACTGTGGGTTAACAGATAAAGAAAATGAATGTTAACGAATAAATAGATTGAAAATTGAATAAGTATTGTTATAGTAAAGTTAAAATAAGAATAAGATAAAATAATAATAAGAAATCAGTGGATAACAAGCTAGTGGAGGTTATATTTGATAACTGTAGGTAAATAGATAACGGGACTAACGGTTAAGAAGTAAAGAAATTGAAAGATTAAAAGGGTAACATTAGTGTTACTCTATGTTTACAAAAATTGATAAAGACTTCTGGCGGAGAATCAGTTAACTGGTTACAAATTTAGATGCGTTTTATCAGAAATGAACCGTATAAAATTTTCTATAAGACAACAATGAATGAGAATGAAAATTCGAAAATATTGTATTGACACCACTCTATAAAAATATCAGACAAATTACAACAACAAAATTTAAGCACATGATTGGCTTATTGCGATATATACCACCGGAACATCGTGACTACTTCAAATCCCTTTCACACGCACAAAATGTAGATGAATAGTAAATTGTTTGTTAATAAAATGTTTGTAATTTTGTATGTTCTGTAATCGAAAAATGTTTTGAATCGCATAAATTTTGTTTCCGAAGTGTTTTAAAGATATGTAAAATAAATTGAGTATTGTGTTTTTCAATTTGAAGCATCTTAAATTATGTTGAATGGACTTGGGTTCCTTCAAATCTTATAATGAATCTGGTTGTTAATTTTGAAAGTGACCTAACTCCATTCTTGATAAGAAAACGCACATTATTCACTTAATAATTGTTACTATTTTAATAGGTACCATAAATTTAACACCCTTAGGTACACTTAAGCGGTATGACTCATTAGTATCCTATACGTATATTGGTTTATTATTTTCAATAATCAACCATTGTGATCGACCAAAAAATTCAAAAACTTAACCCCAACTCAAAATTTCACGTTTCAGGACGCGTAGAATTCGAAAAACGAATAAAATTTTTTTTGTCCGTCCGCCGCCCGCGCATTTTCTCCGAAACTACTGGACCAATATTTTTCAAATTTTGATATAAAATCAGAGGTCACCCGAGGATGATCCTCCTTCATCGACATTACTCTCCGCCTTTAATTTTTAAAATGGCGGCCGAAAAACCTGCGTTGCTATAGACTGTACCTCCTAAACGAATGTACAGATTTCAATGAAACTTCGCTAAAGTCATTTTCTCGACGCCCTTTAAATTTATCTATATAACATACTTCAACGAAAAGAAGGTGGAAAAAAAGTTACGAGGGATGGTAAAATTAAATTCCGAATAACTCGAAACGTTTTTACTTTTTTGTTAATATTGTATATAGTTTTTTAAAAGTTCACGAAACTTCCTAAAAAAAAAAAAAAAAATCGTTAAAATCGGACAATTAGGAGCAAAGATATGGTCTCCGGTTTTTTTTTTTTTTTTTTGTATGTTCTACTCCAAATGTTATATCCTTGGTTTGGTTTTTTTTTTTTTAATTTTGAATATCCGATACCTATGACTGAAATCCTCATACTAGACTGAAACGACAAGTAACCGCTCGACGTTTCGGATTACTTCAGCACTTACTAGACAAACGCTCTAAACTTCCAACTATTTACAAAAGACTCATATACATTACTATGAAAAGGCCTATTTGGACTTTCGGGATCGAGCTTTGGGGCTCTCCTAAACCATCAAATTCCTCTCGTATCCTCAATGCTCCTTACTTTGTCAATAATAAAATTATCCATAAAGATCTTAATGTTCCTTATGTTTCAGATCTGGTCCAATCCAGATACCTATCCTTCCATAATAAACTTCAGAATCATCCCAACCCTCTCGTTTCTAACCTTGCTTCCTCTTCAATTCCTGATAACCCTCCGAGGTGTCTGAAAAGAAGATGGCCCCGTGATCTCCTAATGTAGTATATCATATCATATCATTAGAGTGCTACCATTAGGTAGTTACTCAGCAAGTGTATTCATGTCATTATATCAATTATGTCCAAATTTACTTGATGTATTTATGTAATACAGTATTAAATGTCATAAAGAAATAAAAAAAAAAAAAATTGAATGTGTTACAGCACTAATGCTTTTTTTTTTAGCATATTACTAATGATTAAAGAAAAACAGTTTAGTCAAATAATTGGAACCACCTTTTGTTTTTTTTTCTTTGTAACTCGGAAGGTAATGTTACTTTAGATGTATAATTGTTTGGAGATAATAAACCATTGTGAAATAATTTGCAGCGTTTTTTTAAATTCATTGAAACGCAAACCCTTAAATATCTCGGATTTGAAGATAAATGGAGGTAGGCCACTTTGAAAATAAACGGCTGAATTCACTAACATTCTTTTTAGACCAATCCCCTGTTATGGTTGTCTATTACTGTCTGTTGCTTCAAGACGTGTCGCCAGTAAGACCTCGTTGCTATGACCTGATCTTGTATTACTATCCTTTAACCAGCCAACTATTACACAATGTTTTATCTATTTCAGTTTGTTGGAGCTGCTGAAAAAAACTTCCATACAGTGTTATTGACTTCCATTCTTCCAGTCGGTCATGTCCGTAAAAATGATTGTAATTCTGTATGTCCGTGGTCGAGATTGCGCGTTATTTTATGAAAATGTTTGTTTGAAGTACTCTCTGAGGATTACCATGGTTTCGACGTTTAAGAGACCTCTCCCACCTTCCTTTCTTGGCAGATAAAGCCTTGCTATAAATGCAGTCGGGTGATGCATTCTGTACTTTTAAACTTTAAATAATTATTATATTATTATTATTAACTTACTTGGAACAGTAATCCTTCGCATCTTTTCATTTCCTTGGTCGTCCTTGAAAGGCAAATCTACCGCCATGAATTTCTGTGGCTTCATTTCCTCCGGTTGATTCGCAGCCTCTGCATCCTTCTCTATTTTGGTTCTGGCTGTACGAGGCAAAATATGTTATATTTTAGTTATCATAAATTATTATTGTAATAAGCTCATTATTATAAATTTTACAATTAGCATATAATGTCCATGGGATAGCCGGTTCCCGCTGACGAACCAGTATAAGTCAGGGTTGTCCTGTCACTCATGTATTTTCCTCGTATATTTATCCGATTTCTTTCTGAAATCGATCAAATGTAACCCTAGAAGTGTTTGGGTCGAACGCTTAAAGGTTTTTTGAAAGAACGTCTAGATTAATTTTCAAGTTTGATGGCTAAAAATATTTTAGAGTATTTTAAAAGAATTTGAGCTGAAAAATTACTGTGTAAAGTGCGGTTAATCAATTCCCAGAAAGGCACCTAGCGCAGAATGAAATGTTCCAAACAACGGCAACAACACGAACCAGACCACTGTAAGTGTAACTGTACCTAGTTCTACCATAAATACTGTTACAAAAGTTGAACTTTGTCTACATCCTTAGATATTATGTAGATAATCTTTACCTCTATCAGGTTATTTCATTTACATGTCAGTACAATAAACCCAATTAGTTTTGTATTTTTCTTTCGCTCAGTTAATATGTAGTGGGGTTATGAAGAAAACCAAAGAGCTGTGATCGCATTACACAAAGTTGTAAAATGTAGGTCAGATTTTGAACACTTTGAAACATTTGGGTATCAGCCGTAGGTTCGTATACCGCACTATACATATATATATTGAGGCCCTATCTGTATGTCACAGACCGGGAGCAGTGGCTGCTCGAATCAGAAGAAATCTGATTCGAAAACAACGAATCATGTCTCGGGAAATGGGAATCTCTGTCAGATCAATGTCTCGCATAGTAAAAAGTGACCTTAGGATGGCTGCATTTCGAAGAATGACCGGACAAAGGATAAGCACTTCCCAAAAAAAAAATAGAGTGGATAGATGCAAAGTGCACTTTGGTTGTTAAATCAATGGTTTTCATCGAAAGATTTTGTATAGCGATGAGAAAATGTTTACAATTGAAGAAAAGTTTAACCGCCAAAATTATCGTGTGTACGCACACCGCTCTGAAGAAGCCCAGAAAGTCATTGGAAGAGTGGAAAGATCACCCTTTCTCAGTGATGGTTTGGTGGGGAGTTGGCTTTGATGGCATCACAAAGCTCAATTTTGAAATGAAATGAAAAAATATTTTATTATTCTGGGACTGTTGTCCCTTTAGAACAAATATAAATACAGATTGTATGTCTGTGTGGTTACGATTAGATTATATATTTACAATAAGAGTTGACTAAAACTAAAAATACTAAAGAAGAGAAAGAAAAGAACAAGAAAATTGTACATATATATGAGAAACTAAAGTAACCTAAATAAATTGAAGTAGTCTCTGGGGGTGCTTAGATATTCCTCTTAGGTATATTTCGCAATCAGTCGGATTGAGAAAGGAGTAGGTGTTTAAAGAGGAGAGGTTTCAAAGAGGAAACTGATTGAGCGTGTCGAATATCACCAGGGATGGAATTCCAGAGCGAGGCGAGTTGAATTGCAAAGGATTTGTCAAACGCAGCAGTTCGGTGAGGAGGAGGATAGAGGTCGGAAGTACGAGATCTAGTGGGACGGGATTGGATGGAGTATTTGAATTGTAAGCTGTGAAAAATATAGGAGGGTCGATGAGTTCTAATGATTTGGTACAGAAAGGTGGCTAGGAAGTACTGACGGCGATAGGATGGGTAGAGCCACTTCAACTCAGTGTAATACTGGGTAATATGCGTATCCCTTGAGATTTCGAAAACAAATCGTAGTGCGCAATTCATTAGGCGTTTAAGTTTGGCCTCGGAATCTCCCGTGAGTCCACCGTACACCATACAGCCATAGTCGAAGTGGGGGAAAACAAGGGTGGAAACTAGGAGTTGACGGGACTTATATGGAAGGAGATATCGTAGACGATTGAACTGTTTTAGGGTGGAGATAGTGCGACGGGAAATTTGGGAGATGTGTGGTTTCCAGAATAGGGTTTTAACAGTAACTCATTTTTGTGAAAAAGGAGTTAAAACAGTCTTTGTTTTACTCTCTAAAGATATACATTTTATTTTCTAATAAAGTTTTTGTCAAAATTAATTTTTTCAGTTGAAATCTGTTTATATTTCCTTGTAACGATATTTATGGCATGACTAGGCATATGATATACAATTATTCTTTGACTGTTTTCACAAGGGGAGAGAAATGAAATTTCTTTGGAGGGATAGGGGAAAAACTATTTCACAGTGTTCTGTATCAGAACTTTCGGTCACAACACGTCGGTCAACATGGATACACACTTCTTTATACCAGTATGTTATGTTGTCCACCATTACACAAGTCTTACTCTGGCTGGTTTATAGTGCTATCTGTGATTGTTATTAAGAAATATTCATCGTCTTTCCCCATTTGTTATCTTACCTCATCTTTCCTATTTGTTAAAAAAAAAAATTATTTGATTAAAATTATTTTTTTTCTTTTATTATTATATTTTTCACTTATTAATTTTTTTATTTTTCTTATATAAAATATTTACGATTTTTGGTTTGGTATCGCATAATTTTTATCTGTCGTTTGCCAAGGTCATTAAAACTACCAGGTTCGCTCACCCAGAAATGCGTGGTGGGGGAACTTGAAACGTGACGTAAGGAATAGACTGCCAGACCTACCTATTACTCTTTCAAGACTATCAATGAAGGCTTATTCCAACATTATTGTGCTTTTTTTTTGGTTTTCTAGTTTAATTTATTGATAACAATACTTTTCTGTATTTTTGACGTTTGATTGAAGATAATTTCAAGTAGATAAATAAATAAATACGGCTATCAATCTAGAATAAAATATGCTATGAAGATGATAGGCCAGAACTGAAATGAAAAAAAATAAATTGATATTAAGATTATTTATAAACTCTTTTTTTCAAAATTACTGTAAATAATATATAAATATATTACATAAATAGAAAAAAACTAAGATTTGTATTTATTTAGAGAACATTTTAGCACAATGTTTGTAGATCTCGTGGATATTTCTTTTAATATTATAATAATATTATAAGAGTGAAGATCTTTGTCAGTATTGCAGTAAAAATTTCTTTAAATAAGTAAATTTAATTAAAAAAATAAAAAAATTTTACTTCAAATCCTGATAATTTATTTCCACCTTATAATCTTAACAGTCAACTACTTATCCGTCTCTAAAACAATATTATAAAGAGTATTTTTTTTTTTTACTTTTAATAACATGTTACAGCGTATTCGTTTGTTCTTATTAGTATTTCTCTTAATAGCATACTTAATCCTATAGAATGCCACGTACAAAATGCGCTGTTGCATCTTGCAACAATAATCTAATTGACACAAACAAGATGAAGGAAAGAAAATCTCATTTCATACTTTTCCAAAGGACGCTCTAAGAAAAGATTGGATTTTAAAATGTAAATGTAAAAATATTGTAAAAAAATTTACTATCTTTTTCTTAGAAAACAAAATGTAGAAATTAATGAAGAAAGCCTTTCTTTCAGCAAAAGGTATTTAATAGAATCAAAATTTTAAATACCCTATGATTTTTACAACAATTAAGAAAACAAAATCAAAGCCAAAAAAAAATGAGAAAAATCGCTACATAGGATTACAAAAATTCACGCAAAGAAAACATTTCTTTAATGTTAGATTAAATACTTTTTCTTTGTTTTCAATATTTCTATTATTTTATATTATGCTCTGTATTTATTTGACATATTTAAAAAGTAGTACTTTGCAAAAAATCATACATCAACTTGTTAAATTACATTTTATTTGCTTCGGAATAAACCAAATATCAAATAAACCTTTCTCTCACCTTTCAAATTTATTAAAATTAATAAATTAATAAGTTATTTGGCAATACAGTATTGATTTAATGTAGAAAAGTAAATAATAATGTCAAAATGTCCAGAAACAAAGGCCGGAGGGGTAAACTCAGTCTATTGGCTACGTCAGAGCTCAATTCCTCGCCGCCATTTTCCCTCTGAGTGAGCGAACCTGGTAGTTTTACTGACCTTGGTCGTTTGTTTCCCTGATCAGCTGTTTGATTGTAACCTCCCCTTGCTTTTACCTTACTATCCTTTCAGTAAGCGTTTGGATGTCATAAAGTAATGTCCGATTAGTTGTTCCTTTTTGTCCTGATGTATGAATTGGTGAAACGTTGATGTTTTCTTTGCCTTCATTTTGTATGCATTAGGCTGTGTGGTTTGGATTGTGTTCCAATTTTAACCTAACCTTTATGTTCTGTCTCTTGGTTTGTTGGTTTTTTTAGTAATTTATATTAATTAAAATTTATTACAAATAAACTACATGAATGAATGAAATTCGTAAACTCAAATCGATTAAGAAAAGTCGACTAGCTGGCTAGGGGGTAATAGTATAAAAAAATATCTTTGGATTTTAATAATTCATTCACATTTCATGTGGACCCCTTCATTTTCACGTGATTCGCTTGAAAGTACAAGTATAAATATGTTTTTTTTTAGATATTTTTACATAACTAGTTAGACTGTGAAAACATTGTATTGTTATTGTAAGATTGTGGAAACTAAGAAATCAAAAATATTTTTCGGTTTTTTAACATTATTAAAGCTGGCAAAGTTCTAGAAATGTATCTATGTTATGAAGGCTGTCCACTGTTTCGTTTCACAATAATCATGTTGAGTTTTTATATATAATACAAACTACTGCCATTTTTTAATTTTTTTTTTATTTTAAGCCTGCATAACTCCTTGACTAACTTTTTCGATTACGGTTTACTTTATGTTTCCAAGTTGAAGGATTTCTTTATTTCATTTTTCTCCATTTTTTACAATTAGTAATAAGTTTTTTAAATAATATATGCTAATAATTTAATAGGTTTTAGTAGTTCTTTCACTAGTGACTTTCTTGTCACCTTTTGCTTATTTTGTATGTTTAAAAAATGAATTGATTTTACATGCTTCTTCTGCTTCACTATATTCTTCTGGAATCGCTTCTTCGTTCGTTTCGATTATGATTTGTTCTTCCGCCATTTTTACTTTCAATGCTGAAATATAAAGTAATATTACCACAGATAGACACAAATAAAGTAGATTAATGAATATATATATATATATATATATATATATATATATATATATATATATATGTATATATATTTTTTATAGGTATATTTATCACCCCTGATTTTCAATATTTATATAGAACAAGCCCTTAAAGACTGGAAAAGATCGTGCTGTGGAATGGGTGTTCAAATCGGGAATGATGTAATCTACAATTTGCAGTATGCCGATGACCAAGTCATAATCGCATCGGATCCGGATGATCTGAGCTATATGATGAGGAAGTTGCTAGACACGTATTCCAGATGGGGTCTGAAGATCAGTGAAAGTAAAACAGAGTGCATGGTTTTCAACGCTCCAAATTTGCCCCTTGAAATTGATGACTGGACGCTAAATGTCAGCCGGCAGTTCAAGTAGCTCGGATACTGGCTATCTTCAAAGGGAGGTAGTGGGGTTGACATCGAACATAAAATAAATAATGGGAAAAGAATAATAAGTTCGATAAATTCAACCCTATGGAGTAAAGAAATAAGATTGGAAACTAAAAAGAAGATATACCATTCCTTTGTAGAAAGCGTAGCCACTTACGCATCAGAAGTCTGGACACTGACAAAAAAGATGGAAAATAAGTTGCTTTCCATGGAAATGGATTTCTGGAGAAGAAGCTGTGGCATATCCAGAATCGAGCGGATCCCAAACGCAGCTATTAGAGACAAGGCCGGATGTCAAAAGAACATCCTTCACCTGATCGGGACCATACGGTTAAAGTGGTATGGCCAGTTAATGCGGATGGACGAGAACCGCTGGCCAAAGACAGTTTATAACTATATGCCACCTGAAAGAAGGAAGCGTGGAAGGCCAAAGAAGAAATGAACAGAGGACGTGGAGGAAAGCATGGCAGCCAGAGGGCTTCGTGAGGGAGATTGGATGGACAGGGAGCAGTGGCTTTTGGGTATTGGGGATATGACTCCTTAAGTTGTAGAAGACCCAAATATAAATAAAATAAAAAAAATATTTATTCCCCTATGATCTATCAATTATTACCCGATTAAGCGAAGCGAAACAAGAGATATGTGTTTCGATCGTCCGCTAAAAGTTATGTAACACGTTTTTGAGCGAACTGTTGGATCGTTTTTAAGTTTGATGGCTGAAATTATTGCATGAGATCCCATGAGTTTCTTTAAAAACAATTTAAACTAAATCCGTTATCAAATAAGATGTGTTTAACCAATTTGCAAAATGCTTTATAATGCTGTTTTGAGCGAACGGCCGGATCTTCTTATCTAGAATTAAATAGGGAATGCTACCCCTTGGCAAGTATCTCTTAAAGATGTCATTGTTTCTAATGTGTGCATTTTTACTAGTTGTATTTGTTTATACAGCTGTAAATTTCATTGAATAAATTACAATGTTGTTAGGTATGCAGTGACTATAACAAATTTCCGCTCCAGAAAGTCTTGTGGTTTCGAACCTTTTTGGTTTACTCTAAATATCTCCTTTTTAAAGCGAAATTGATAAAAATTGGTTATATTCATTATTGAACAACTTAAAATTACCTAACATTTTTGTCTACACCCAACAGGAAGCGAACTATCGAGCTTTCAAAATTTACCCATTTCAATTTCTTCACATTAATGCTGTTTCTGTTTCAGTTTTGAACTGAAGAATTCTATAAATGCATTTTAAATCTACTCCAGAAAATTAGGTGATTTTCCTTGAAGATAATAATTATTATTATTAAAACACTTTATTCAGAAATATTACAATTTGTCACAGTTAAGGACACTTATAATAGAGTTCAGAGATTGCATTCATACCGTATATACAAAAATATAAATAAATAAAGTAATAACAAAAGAATAAGAAGAAAGAACAAAAGAGTAAAGAAAAATAAAATATATATATATACACATAAGTAAATAAAAATATAAATGAAAGTAAAACAAACACCTTATATAAAACATACATTATTTACAATTTGCCAGGTGATTTCCGAACCAATCCTGTCCCCTCCACATGTGGAGGGAAAAGGGAGGCTTAGGAGATCCCTACGCTTCTCCCTCAGCCACTTCACTGGTATTTTAAACCAGCGGAGGATGAGTAAGAGCGTGAAGATAATAATAATAATAAAATATTGGAGATTTTGCGAAGGGGTAGAAGCGATTCGTGGGAGACAAAAATAGCTCTTTTTGATTCTATGGTGTCTTCAACCCTTCTGTATTCTTCTGAAATATGGAGCTTAAGATACCTGGATGCTATTGAAGTGGTACAGCTGAAGTTTCTGAAGCAACTATTTAGGTGGCCAAGGAATACTGCCAACTACATTGTACATCTAGAAACTGGCCGAAACGCCTTGAGTGTCAGGATTATGAGAAGGATCATAAATTACTGGTCTAAATTGTCGCTTATGCCTGAAGAGAGGTTACCAAGGCTTTTTTTCAATAAATTAATTTAGCTGGATACAAGGAATCCTGATATAAACTTTAATTGGATCACACAAGTCAGATCAATAGTTGCTCATTATGGCCGTAAAGAAGAGTTCGATAAAGTATACCCAACTGGATTATTAAAATACAGCGATGAAATATTGGAAAAGCTAAAAAACCATAACCTATCTAAGGACATCCATTTATCGATAAATTCCAACAACAACCCCATATATAGAACTATTTCCAGCTTCAATATTTCCAGCCCAGAGTCCTATTTGATGTGTAGAGCTAACATGAAAAAGCTAAGATCAATAAGTCAATTAAGGGTTTGAAATCCCGAATTAATTAAGCTCTATACGAAAAACAATAGTTTCTACTTCAAAGCCCAGGAAACCTGCACTTTCTGTAACCAATTCATTACTAACAGCCTGTTCCATATCCTTCTGTACTGTGAAAAGCGAACAGACGACAGACACAAACATTTAAGAGCATTTCTCTCTGCGCCAAGTGATGTAAACAAATTACAAGACATACTTCGAATCGATAACATAGAGAAACCTAATAAAATTTACTGGTTCATAATGTCAGCGTGCAATTCACTGGATCCCTTAAGCTCTGATGTTCCACAAACCAACCAAGTGCTATGACTAAGGATAATTGTTGGTCAGTTCAATTAATTGTTTGTTTCTTTTTTCTTTTTTGGTTTTATTGATAATGTAGATAGAAATTAATTGGAATGTAATGAAGTATTATTGTTTAGTTATTGTTTTTATAATAAGTCAATGTACAGTTAAGTATGTACAGTTAAACTAGACTCATGTAGGTGAAATGTAGTTATTCATATATGTATCATTTTTACAAGATTGTAAAATAATCTTTAACAAATAAATTCAATTCTATTCTAATAATAATAATAATAATAAAAATCGAGAGAGAAACGGATACAAAATAAAACTCAATGAATTGAGTGCAGTAATAAGCCACAGTTTTTATATGGACGATTTAAAACTTAATGCAAAGAACAAATGCCAGTTGCAATCTATGCTAAATACTGTAACTCAATTTAGTGACTCAATACACATGTCACTCAGTATTGAGAAATGTGCTGTTCTTCATGTGATTAAAGGGAAGCCAAGTAACTCCGAGAACATATTTAATGAAGCATTGCATATTAAACACATAAAAAGGAAGATCTACATAAATAATGTACTCCTAATTCTATTTATATCGATATGTTGATAACCTTAAAATTTCGTTAGGTATCGATTTTTAAATTAGTATAACATACCTAGCTAGTCAACTTTTTTTTTTTTAATATTCTTCTCAGAAATCTAAGAGGTCTAAATTTTCTTTTCTTTAATTATTCCAGAATTTCAGAGCTGCAAATAACTAACTACCAATACAATATTCTCTTCAATATTACTTTTAAGGCAGATTAACTTTAACTAACATCTGTTTCATATATCTCAGATTATAATATTATAATTAATCAAAACCAAGACATCCATAAACTTTTTAGCGAGGATAGTCAAATAAAGAAAGTAGTGGATTGACAAATAAGTCCATTCGGTTTTTCAGGATAAAATAAAACTCAATGTATTATAGACATAAAATTTATTTTAATTTACAATATATTGACCATTATTTAATATGACTTTTTCCCATCTTTCCACCAACTGCATAATGCCATGTTCATAGAATGTCTGGAGTTTATTGTTAAAAAAGTGATCCAAGTGGTTTTGGATGTCCTCTTCCTTTTGAAATTTCTTTCCATTCATAGAGTTCTGGAGAGACAAGTGGTATTCACTTGGAGCTAGGTCTGGTGAATAGGGAGGATGGGACAAAAGGTCCCATCCAAGGCTCAATAATTTATTGCGAGTGACCAATGAGGTGTGGGATGTAGGAATAAATAAAAACTCCTCGTAGGTTTTTATCTCCATTTGTAATTTGTTTACAAAGGTCCTGTGTAGTTTATGTGGTCCTAAATTCCTGCTAAATTTCTTGTAGATAGCTAAAGTCGTATTGACGTTAGTGATATAAAAATAAACAGAAAAACCGAAATGACTTATTTGCCAACTAATAAATGTACCAATAACTAATAATAAGCCACAGAAACCTTAGAAATAGAGGAAACGCACCAGTTTTGGACAGATTGGACTTTAAATTTAAATAATAAGCTTCCTTGTTGATTTAAAGGTTTCTGTTTTTTCTAGATTGAAGAACAATGCCCTCTATTGACAACTGTATGAACAAAGTTCCCAAAAAAAAAATTTTAAATACGTATCATTGAGCATACTATAGTGCTCTTAAGATCAGTGTGTTTCATACCTTTCTACTAATAGTTCTGCTAAGAGTAAGTTGAACATATATAGTATCTTATCTTTATAGTTAAATAAAGATTTAGAATTATTCTGAGGTATGTCCATTACTGGCAACGACCCCTTGTCCATTACTAGAACAATGGAAGTTCGGTGTGTCCATCACTAATGCAAAAAATAATGTTTTTTAAAATGGAGAATGTAACTGCTTATCTGATTTTTGTTTTCAATTTTAAAGAGCTAAATAGAAAAAGAAGACCTTAGAGATTATAATTGTCCAAGGGCAAAAAAGACAAAATTTCTTTAGCTATATCACTGCTGCGCTTACTCTAATGTTATTTCTGATGTATAATAGTTAGAAAATAATAAACCATTGCGTAATAATTTAGAGCGTTTTTAGTCTCACTTCATCAATACTTTTTATTTATATCTATTCAAAATAATATAAGTGAAAATTTTCTCACCAAACTAGACTTTTGTAAACATATGAGTATGGAGAGAGTGTAATATTGTAGACAGAACCGATGCATTTTATATTTTTAATCCTTAAGAAGTGTTCGACTAGTTATAGATACACTTATCTTTTGTATTATGTGTTACCCATTGGCCAGTACATAAGTAAAGTACTTTCTCTTTCTCCCATACAGTAATGCCTGGAGTGCGTTGAGCGATGGACCGACGTAAGTGTTACTTAAGAAATTCGGTGGCTTCGGGGTAGGAGAGCAATTATACACTGAGATCATATTTGATCGGACGGATCCAGCAAGGAGGGCTCAAAACGATTGCAAAGTAGAGTGCAAAATAACGAGAAGGCTGAAATAAGAAAGAAAAAACAAAGCTCCCAAAAGGTTGATGGAGTACAGTGAGGAAATGGTAGCAAGGGAGGGGGGAGTGAGGAGATGTGTTGTGGCGTCATCTCTAACGGTTGTCTGACGAAGTTTGAACTAAAGTACCGGAAGCGTAAATAATGGAAGAGAGATATATTACAGTATGCAGTCCAGGCCTTCATCAGAGCTAAGAAAAGAAAAGAACCAGATAACAAGGTATGAAAAAGATGAATAATGCAGGTAAAAAAAAAAAAATTAAGTAAAATGAAGTGGGTAGAATAATGACAATAGTAAGAACTTTTTTTTTTTTTTTTTTTTAAATTTCTTTATTGATTATTATAACAATCTGTCTGTTGGACATTGGTTATAGTGAGGTAGGATGACATTCACACCATATGTACAAAAAAATAAAATAAATAGAACAAAATAATAATCAAAAGTATATACAATAGACAATAAAATAAAATAACCTAAAAAATAAGAAAATTAAAACTAAGGAAAAAAAAATAACATGCATACCTATATACAATCAGGCGAGGGAACTCCAGGAGAACCCTGCGCTACTCTTCCAACCGCGTCACTGGTACTAAAGCCAGCGGAGATTGGTCGAGAGCACTTTAGCCACATACACACATGTCTTGAGTGAAGAATCTGGCCATTGCCAGAACTCCAATTTATATAATCTACAAAAGGTCGCGAGGCCACTGCCGTTTCAACCTTCTTGGAGGATTATAGGGATGGGAGATGCTTGATAGTGATTGTGCAAGAGGATTTGGGTGGTAAGTAAGGTTCTGGTGAAATTTGGAGAATTTTTCTGGGATAAGGTCTAGGACAAATGGGATGTTAAGGTCATGATGTAGGGTTTTGTTGGATACATAGAAAGGAGCATCGACTATTGTTCGAAGGACTTTAGACTGGAAGGATTGGATGCGCTTGATGTTAGAAAATTTTGCTGATCCCCACAGTTCTAGTCCGTAAGTCCAAATAGGTTTCAGTATTGTCTTGTAGATCAGTAGCTTGTTTTCAATGGAAAGTTTAGATTTTCTGCTTAGTAGTCGGTATAGTTGGCCGTATCGTCGGTTGAGTTCTTGTCTTTTGAGTCTAGTATGCGGGTTCCAAGTTAGTCTTCGGTCTAAATGAAAGCCAAGATACCGGACTGTGTCTGAATAAGGAAGCTGGATGGAATTAAAGAGTACTGGTGGACAGGAATTGCGTCGGAGTGTGAAGGTAATATGTTGGCATTTAGTTTCATTAACTTTAATGCGCCAGTTATTACACCAGTGCTCAATCAAGGTGAGGTGACTTTGGAGATTTAAGGATGCTATTTCGGGATCAGAGTTGGATGATAAGATTGCGGTGTCGTCAGCGAATGTTGCAAGAAAAGTATCGGGATGAACAGGGATGTCAGCAGTAAAGAGGATGTAAAGCACGGGACCCAAGACGCTGCCTTGGGGAACACCGGCTTTAACGGAGTAGATATTGGAAAATTCTGTTCCACAGCGAACTCGAAAGGAGCGGTCAGAGAGGTAGGATCGGAGGACTAGGTACAAGGACTGAGGTAAATGGATTTTAAGCTTGGAGAGCAGTCCGGAGTGCCATACCCGGTCAAATGCCTGTGCAATGTCCAGAAAGGCACCCGAACAGTATTCCTTGTTTTCTAGGGCTGAGGAAATATGATCAACAACTCGGAGTCCTTGTTGAACAGTAGAATGTTGAGAGCGAAAACCAAACTGATGGGAAGGGATATTTTGGGATTCTATAATGGGTAGGATTCGTTTCAAAAGGATCTTTTCAAAAATTTTTGAAAGGATTGGGAGTAGGCTGATTGGTCTATAGGATGTTGAGCTATTGAGAGGTTTTCCTGGTTTTGGGAAAAGGATAATAGTGGAGTGTTTCCATAACAGAGGGAAGTGGGTGGTGCGTAGGATACAATTGTAGATATATGTAAGGAATATGACTGCTTTGGATGGAAGTTGTCGAAGGATTTGAGGTGTAAGGAGATCATGTCCAGGAGCTTTACGGAGGATTAGTTTTTTTAATTGAAATTTTACTTCGGAAGGATGAATAGCTTTTGGGGGCAAGGAAAGTGGGATTGGTGATGTAAGGAGTTCTTCTACTGTTACGGTGTGGGCAGGATGGGATTCCGGATGTGAAATAAATGTATTGGATAGGTGAATGGCGAACTCCTCAGCTTTATCTTCGTCAGATGCTGCCCAGGAGCCATCACCTCGTCGGAGAGGATGGGAAATGCGGTGAGGATTTAGGATTTTTGTTGTGGTTTTCCAAAGGGAATTGTCGCGAGAAGAGAGGGAGGATAGGTAGGAGTTGAAGGATTGTGATCTGAAGGTGGCTAATTCCAGTTTTAATTGTTTGCAGTAGTAATTATAGGAGCAGCGGTCGGTAGGATGTCGGGTACGTTGCCATAATAATCTGGCACGGCGTTTGGTGCGGATTAGGTTAAGGAGGTGTTGGGGTAGAATGGTCTTTATAGGAATTCTGGAGGAGTCTTTTGGAAAGGAGGCAGTCCAGGCGGCTTGTTGGATTGTGGTAGTAAAGGAATTTACGGCACTATCAAGGTCATCGGGAGTTTTGAGGGATATGTTGAGATCAATATTATCGGAGATTATTTGGCGGAAAAGGTCCCAGTTTACTGGGCCCCTAATGAATGACGGTGGAGAAGGTTTGGGAACAGGTTCAAGTGAAACATTAAGGATTAGAGGACTATGGTCAGAGGAAAGTTCATTTAGACGTGTAATGGAACAATTGAGGGGACTTAAGCCGCTGTGGATAAAGAAATCAAGAAGATCAGGATTACGGTTGGGATCTGTGGGCCAGTAGGTAGGAGAGTTGGGGGAAAGGAGGTGAAAACGTTGGGAATTGAGTGCAGACAGCAGGGTTCGGCCACGAGAATTCGTGGTTCTGGAACCCCATTGTTGGTGCTTGGCATTTAGGTCTGCACCCAAGATGAAGTGATGTCCTAAGGAGTCGAGGAGAGAACTGAATTGGGCATTGGATATGGATCGGTTAGGAGGGCAATACGCTGATGCAAGAGTGACCGGAAAGGAGAAGGTTTTTATCACGATAGCGGTGGACTGTAGGAAATCATGTATTGATAATGGGAGTACGTGATGGGAGAGGGATTGGTGTACAATTACAGCAGTACCGGCATGTGCTTTTCCGTCAGGGTGGTCAGTACGATATGTCAGGTATTGTGGTATATTGAAGTGCTGTTTAGTGGTTAGTCGAGTTTCAGTAATTAGTGCCACATCAATGTTCTTGTCAAATAGTAAAGTAGATAGTTCGTCTGTATGATTTCTAACACCATTCGCATTCCAAAGGAGAATGGATATGGGTTTAGGGATGTGAGTCATTTAAGGA